CTTTTGTGTCTCAGCACAGTTAGAAGTTCTTTGGACATCCATTCTGGCTTCTTTGCACTTGTCCTATTTTTTCTTTTTGTTGGCACGGTTTGCAACTGCGCCTTGAGTATTTCACTCTTGAGAAACTCCCATCCATCCGTAACTCCCTTGTCTTTTAGTATCTGTGTCCACGGAATGCTGCTCAGTGTTTCCTTCATTTTTGGAAATCAGCTCTCCTAAAGTCCAAAATGCGGGTTTGACTTGTCTTAGTTTCGGCCTTCCTTTGTACCTCAAATTGCAGGAGCACATGGTCACTTGCCCCTAAGGATCCTACCACTTCAACTGCATCGATCAGGTCCTCCGCATTTGTTAGGATGAGATCAAGAGTAGCCAATCCCCTTGTTGCCTCTTCTACCTTCTGGACCATGAAATTGTCTGCAAGGCAAGCGAGGAATTTGTTGGACCTTGTACTCTTGGCCGAGTTTGTTTTCCAGCAAATATCGGGATAGTTGAAATCGCCCATGACTACTACATCTCTTCTCTGTGCCTGTTTGGTCAACTGTTGGCAGAAGACTTCATCAAGTTCTTCCTCCTGGCTTGGAGGTCTGTAGTAAACTCCTACAACAAGATCTTTTTGAGTCCCAGTTCCCTTGATTCTTATCCAGATGCTTTCAAGCTGGTTTCCCGGATTGCTGTCATCCATCTCTTCTGCAGCATAAGAGTTTTTGACATATAAGGCTACTCCGCCTGCTCTCCCCTTTGTTCGGTTTCTGTGAAAGAGGTTATAGCCCTCGATGTCTACATTCCAGCGATAGGAGTCATCCCACCAGGTTTCAGTGATGCCTATGATATCATATTTGTGGTGTCGTGCTAAAAGTTGGAGTTCGTCATGTTTATTTCCCATGCTCTGTGCATTAGTGTAAAGACATGTGAGCCCCTGAGATCTTCCCCTGAGCTGTTTAATTGGGATTATTGTGCTTTCGGTACTTGGTCCTTTTTGTGTTTGTGCAGCCCTCCGTTTAGCCTTCTGGCGGTTCCCTGACATTGTGGGTAAAGTAGTGTTCGCAAGGCTGTTGTCCCCCTCCCCCAGTGGGCCTAGTTTAAAGTGCGCCTAATGAGGTTTGCGAGTCTGTGAGCAAAAAGGTGTTTTCCTACTTGTGTGAGATGCACCCCATCCCTTGCCAGTAGGCCATCCTCCTGGAAAAGCAGGCCATGGTCAAGGAAGCCAAAGCGTTCCTCCTGACACCATTTTCTAAGCCAGTTATTGACCTGTACTATTTTTCTGGCCCTTGTAGGACCGTGTTTTATGACTGGGAGGAGGGATGAAAAGACCACCTGTACATTACATTGCTTTAGCTTTGTTCCTAGAGCTCGAAAATCATTTGTGATCTTTTGAAAAGTATGCCTAGCAGTATCATTGGTTCCTACATGAATCAACATGAGGGGAGGACGGTGATGGGGCTTGAGGAGCCTGGTGAGCCTCTGAGTGATATGGTGTATTTTTGCCCCCGGTAGGCAGCATATTTCTCGAGCCATCCCATCCGGTCTGGAAATGACGGCTTCCGTTCCTCTAAGGAGCGAGTCGCCTACTACCAAGACCTGTTTACTTTCAGGATTGGCAGGGCCCCTTATGTGCAATGTAGTGTGTAGGTCCCCAAAAAAGTGATCCTGTTGGTGTGAATTGTGTAGGTGTAAAGTGTTGTCCTCCTCCTCGACATCCCCAGTGCATTCATCAAGGACAATCCATTGAGATTCGTCCAAGAGCCTAGCGTTCTCCTGTATGTGTTCCTGTTGCACCTGGTCTATGGTTGGGGATGGTACACCTGCATGATTGTGTAAGTGTGAATGTTGTGAAGTGTTGTCCCAATCAGGGCTATCCCCCACACACTGATCAAGGACGAGCCACTGATCAGTATCTAAGCCATTCTGGTCTTCCTCAATGTGTTGTGTTTCTTGGTCAAGTGATAGCTGTGTGAGAATTTGGAATCTATTGTGCAATTGCAGCTGAGCAGAAGTATTCTGAGGAGGCTTCCGGGTCCTATGTCTCTTTCTAAGGATGACATTCCTCCAAGCCTGAGGGTTGTCCACATCTGAGGTGATCTCCTCTTGAGCCTCCCCATAATGTTGATGTGATATGGGCTGCGTGTCTAGGACAGCATGCTGTGTGGTGTCTAAGAACGGCTCGAGTTCCTGAATGCCCTTAAGGGTCTTAATACGGTCCTCGAGTTGTCGGATCCTGTGTTCCATGTGAGTGATCTGTTTACACTTGGGGCAAATGTAATTGAGTAATTGTAGTGTGAAAAAGCTGAACATGCCACAGCTTGTGCATGAGACAGGAAGATTTCGTGTTTGTTCCATCTGGAGGTTGCTAATGACCTCCTCTTGGTGTGTGTTTTATGTTGTTGTCTGTATGCAGGGGTGAAAGTGTAGGTTACCGAGTGTATGAGACCCTGGTTTATATAGGGTAACCAGGAAGCAGAACAGGAAGCCCCGCCTGTTGGGGTTCAGCCTGAGTTTGAACTTGAACCTGATTCTCTGTTTGTTCCTCCTGATGCTAATGAAAATATATTTACTGATGTTAATGAAAATGTACCTCTTGATGCCAATGCTCCTAAAATTAGTGAGGAAGAAACTTCTGTAGATTTGGAAAATGAAAGTACCAGTGTTCATGAGAATGTTTCAGAGGGAAGCCATGAACTTTCACTCCCTTTTGCACCTGTTAACTCTAATGAGAACAGAAGGGGCCAGATCTGGCAAGACAGAAGTAAATCACTCAGCTTGCATCGGTCTTCCCGATTAAGAGAATTACAAACAATGGCTTCAAAGCAGAGGGGCGGTTCATGGAACCAATTCTTTCGCTTGAAATGCCTTCCGCCGGGCTGACTTTCTCAGTTCAGGCATCGTTTCAGAATTGATGAAGACCTTGGCAGTTTTCCCGGTTCCCTGGCCATAGTTTTGAAAGATTTCTAGGATATCAAGTACGGTTAGTGAATTACTAACAGGTTTCAGTATTTTACAGTGTGGCTTTAGGTTTTGTTCTTGTGCATTTAAATTCATGTTTGCTGATTTTGCTGTGGCTTTTGACTTGCATTTTTCCTTTATTTTATAACCATTTTTCTTCAATAAAAAAGGATTGTTTTTTCACAGTCAAGTGTGGTGGATAATTATCTTAGGGCCTCGTTCCCTGCACTGGATTGCAACACCGCCTCTCAAACAAAGCAACACCCAAAGCAGCAAATTTTAAACACAGGAAGCCCCGCCTCTCAAACAAAGCAACACCCAAAGCAGCAAATTTTAAACACAGGAAGCCCCGCCTCTCAAACAAAGAATATGTGTAATTCTAGATGGTTTATTGAGTTTTACAAACATTGTTCGGGATAAGATTGCTGCTTTTGTTACAAATATAACTGAGGTGAGAAGGTGAACCCCATATACAAGGTAGAGATGAGAATGGCATTTGAGGAGGAGAGGACAGTCCTAGACAGCCACCTTGCACATAGTAACTACATGAGTTAGTGCTTTATTCAGTGGTCCCTTCCATGAGGCTACAGATGTAAATGTTGTAGCTTGGGTATGAGCCAGGGATACAGGCAGGGTCCAGCAAATTATAGGAAATCCAGAATTGGCAGTCTTAGGTTTCAACCCCATCATCTTTGTATGTTTTAATATGATAGTATGCTCATGTGCAAACATAAGTTGTGGCCAGTTTATACAGTTCTTTAATGGTTCAGTAAACCTGTGTCCCAAAAGGCATAGTACTTACTGGACTACACATTCACTGGAAAAGATGATCAAGAGAATAAAGCGGGAGTAAGAAAAAAAGAAGACTGCATTACAGGCAGAAACCATAGCCCTGTATTTGCGACATGAGACATTGATGACTGAGGCTCTTGAAGGTTCCCTGGAGGTCTCTCATTGATAGGGTAGCCATAATCAAAGTTGATTCAATAGCAAGTAACAATAACATCTATTGCCATTCCCTCCCCCCTAAATGTTTGTATGCTCAATTTAAAGTTATGCTTAAGAAAACAATAATCAAATGCCACATAGTGTTTTGAGATTTTAGTGTATGTTGAATATTATGCAAACAAGACTGTTCTATTTTGTTTAGTTCATTAAAGTAATTGGTATCCCTGACACAGAAAGTAATGTATGAAACAGTAAATTATTAGTAAAAACACATTCATATATACTGGATACAGCTGGAGCTAAACTGAATTGTGGTGAATCCACTTAACTTAGGGTGGCTTTATATCAGGTAGTCTGTTATGAATTGTGGGAGTTAAAGTCCAAAACACCTGGAGAACCAAAGTTTGCCCACGTCTGCTGTATATGGACCCTTTATCCCAGGGCCAATTTGGCCCAGGATGGTTTTGACTGCCAACCGCCCAACAACTGTAGAGGCAGAAGGGAGTCAGTGCCACCAGGCAGACACCTTTACTAGACCCTCATGAGGGGAATCAGATATTAAAGCTAAACCACTAGAATCCAATTTGGAAGGAATGTGGAGGAGTTTGGGGATATTTTCAAGTAGTTTTGTGTTTTCTTATCTCTAAATAAAATTTAAGTTCAATTGCATTGGTTTTGTGGAATTTGTGGAGTTTTGAGGGCCACAAAAACTGTTTTGGGGGTGCATGTAGCACATAGATTTCAGTTTCTGCACCCCAGCACCACAAAAATGCTTTCAGCATTGATATCCATCACAAATTGTTACCACTGTTGTCAAATTAAAACCAACATATGTAGAAAAAATATCCCCCCACATGTTATTTTTCCATCAAGGAGAAATTGCAAGAATATGCTAACCCACTGAACCATCTACACATAGACTTTGTAAAAATGTGATCCTGAGACCATTCACCTTAGTGTGTCTAGATTTGAGACATATTTGTATTGAAAACATTTATCATTCATATTAAGACGTATGAAAGTGAGCCAAGCAATAACTTTCAGTTTTAAAAATAAAGTTATCTTCTTTAGGAGGAAAAAATCATTTTATATAAATGTAGCAAACTACTTACAGCATATACATAATGACACCTATGCTCCAAACATCACACTGTTGGCTATAGTCATGTGCACTTATCACTTCTGGGGCTGCCAACCAAGCAGAAACAATAATATTAATAATACAAAAATACTTTTAAAAGCTTAAAACAAAGCATGTGCTGATGAATATACTTTATTTCTCCCTCAAGCAAAAAGAAAAGCAGCAGATGTTGAGATTAATAATGCACAGCCCTTAACAATTCATGCTGATGTGTCCTCACTTTGATCATTTAGGATGATGACATTGTGGCTAACTAATTGTGTTATTGGTTTTCTTTGTAGCTATAAATTGTGAAAACATTCTGACTGCAAATCCTTCATGACATCACATAAAGATATTTCCATTTAGAAACCAAACATAACATGTACGGTTATGTACAGGATGCAAAAATAACAGAGGTTATGTAAATATCCATGTAGGACAAATCACAACAAGTACAACATCCATTTTGAAAAGATGGTTCTTGACCACTTGACTTGTTTTACATATCTATACACATTATAGATTTACAAAATGATAGACTCTGCAAATTATTAATTGATACAGATCATGTGATTATTGTTTATGAAATCAAGCGACACCACCACCACCCCTCCCAGCACATGCACTCTCCTTACTTCCTTTGCATGGGACACAATTACAGCAGATTCTTTCTAGGAAAAATATTCAGGACAAAATCCAAAATTCACAAAAAAAGAGCTACCTTAGTTGGTCAACCAAAATGTACATACAACAATATTCCCAACCTGGAAACTGTGATTCTTAAAGTGATATCTTTTTGTTGTTTGTTTGATTTCCATTTTAATGTGAGACATTGGCTTGTTCCAAAACTGGTAATTTTATTTCCCTGGGAAACTACATGGCTATTTATTAATCATATCTAAAGGAACATAAGAAGCAAAGGAGTTGAATATATGGTGGTCAGGTACTTGTATTTTCAGTTTAATAAACAAGTATCATCCAAACACAGCACTGAGTAGTAATATCACAGTATCCATAACATTTGCTTTGAAAATAACCTAACAAGCTCAAACTATTATAATTTAGTACTGCAGGCCAGTAATTTGTACAAAACGTTTCCTTTTCAGTTGTCCCCTTTTTTGGCTACAAGAAACATTTCATCTCAAGAAGAAGTGAACATTCAATACTACATCCATCAGTCTATATGTAACATTAACATTAACAGACTTAGATGTTTTATGATCAATTGTCTTAACTGTCTAAACTTGCCTTCAGTATGTGCTCAGATGAAGAGGAATCTCTATATTAATATATTCAGCTGTTGTTTCCGAGTTATTAACTGACTATGAATATACTATAAAACCTAATTTGTAATCTTATTGTATAATGGCCTATCCACTATTTGGTAAACAATCATCACTCACAGTATCTTTAAAAAAATTGAATCATAAAGCAAGAAACATGGTGTATAGTATTAAATGTGGGTCAACACAATGCAAAACATAAAAGACCATGAGCAAGCTACTCATACATTTTAGCACAGAAAATCTGAGTAGAAACATAAATGTTTTTAAATTTAGCAAACCCTCTCTAATTTTTCAGCCAGCAGTACAAGACAGTTGTTTTTGTTGTCATGTAAAAATGTCATCTTGAGATCTTCTTATAGCTAGCAGGTCTGAAACAGATATACAACGATCTCTAGGTAATGAACTATATATATGTTCTTCTATCTTTACAGAAATATGAAATGTCTTCTAGAATAAGGTTTTATAATATATATTTGCTTTCAAGAAACAGTTCAAGCTTGGCTTAGATCCAGGCTTCACTGCAAACTATAACTTGCCATTTCATAGAAGCAATTTTCCATCCCACTTCTGAATTTGATAAGAAACAGCCAAGAAAAAAGAAAAATAATTGAAGAAATTACATATCCTGTTGCCTAATTATATCTTTAGTTTTTATGAAGTAATTGTACTAAAACAATACACCTTTTTATGGTGTTTAATATATACAACTCATTCTAAGCACGCTTACTCTGAGCCCAAGTGGAGTTACTTCTATAGCACTTGCTCCCAAATAAATGAATTTAAAAGTGCACATTTAACATATTTATGAAAAATATGTCTCAATCACTGCCCACAAATACACATTTTATACAATCAAGGCTTGCCCTTTCTAAGCAAGTGTAAACCATCATGTATAATGGGAAAGGCAGAAAAAAGAATAGATGAATTCTAGCAATAATATTAGGCTTCCCTCCAAAATCTGCTTCATGGAGGATGCTGGAATATTAGGAAGGACCAAAAGTATTAGAAAATGGTTAAATACTTTGGGTTAAATCAATGGAAGAAATTAATTGCCCCAAACTAAACAGAGGCAGTTGATTTATGGGATTTCGCTCACATATACTGCCCAATTTTGGTTAAGTCCTCCCTCCATTGCAATGCCACATTTTATGAGAATTTCTCTTTTTCACTGATTTTTATCACTAATAATCTAATATGAAACCAAAAAATAAAATACATTAAAAGAAAATAGAAAAATAAACAAGATGAAGAGAGGGGAAAATAAAAAAGAGTGACAGAAAGGGATAAGATATATAACTAAAACAAAGTAGGGTCTTGACAGTAATGAAAAGAAAAATAAAAGAGAAAAACAGTGTTCTATCATTATAGATCTAACTAAACAATCTTTTGGGTTATAGTACCTTTTGTAGAAATCAAAAGGTACAACGTAAAAAGACTTAGGGAAGATCTATGCTGACCCGTTATCCACAATGCAGGGAGCTGATTCGGTTTACCACAGGTCAAAGCCACATAATTTGAACTATATTATCAAAAGACACAGGTGGCTTCAAATTCTCACTGAGAATCTGGAGCTAACAATGACTTTAGGAAAGGGTTAAGCATTAATAGTCATGGGAATGATATTTCTAGTGCCCATCACTTGTCACTTGGATATGCCCATTAGCCAGAACAACAAGGCAATCAGATTTGGATTGGGACAAGGAGGGAGCAATTCCTGTGGCGCCCTGGCCAACTCCAGGTGACGAGTGATGGAGACCAACCATGTTGCACCCGCTAGTCATCACAACAATGGGAACAGGAAGGGGATAGTCAGGACTCCTTCCCACTTCTGCAGTACCCAGGGACTAGTGGTTAAAATTCTCAGCACTCCGGAACAGCCCTGGAATAAAGGGTCAGTGTAGAGCCACCCATCATAATGGTACTTCTTGGCACTTGCTCTCCAGCTAACTTTTCACTAGATTCAGCAATTTCCAAATAATTTTACAAATAGCAATAATAAAATAGGTCTATTTAGGGTATGTTTTCCTGATATAATGAATTGAATGTTGGGATCAGAAAGACAGCTGAATAAATCTTCTTCAATCATGATGTACATAGCTTAGTATCTCAGTGAACCTTTAAGATGATGTTTATTGGCAAGAATATTTTACATCTGCGAAAAGCTTGCAACTGTGAAAAAACATCTACCAAATTATGGAACACTGAAAAAATCTATAAGCAATGGGCAAGATTAAGAGTCAGCCCATATATACGCCTACATAAATGGCAAATTCATTCATATGCAATTCCTTTATGAGATGAGACTGAATCGGAATGCTACCCTATGAAGCACTGAACTTACCCATGTAGATAGGAGTCCCACAGGTGGACTGGAACATGCTTTCACTTCCTCCCATCTTTTGTACGGCTAAACCAAAATCAGTCACCTACAAGAAACAGAACTCATCTGTCTTCAAAATTCCCTGTTGACATGTAGTTGCAGCTCTTCTATTTCTCTTAAGAGTTCATTGTTCATAGCAAAACCACTTCAGTGAGAGCTAAAAGAATTTGACTAGATTTCTCAAATGATCACATGTAACAGTGCACCTTAAGCAGAGAAAGCTCTACGCCAATCCTCCTATAAATATTCAGAGCCTAGTTTTCAACAACTTTAATCCTTACTCTGCAAATTGTACTAGCATTTGAGCATACATAAAGCTGAGAAGATTATTAATGAGATTCAAACTAAGTATAAACTGTTATCGGGTCTGCATCAAACTCCTTAAATAAAAAAAGTTGATATTTTAATTATGCTCCATTACTACAAGACCTTTAGGGAACACAAACATGGGACACAGTAGATGCTAATAAAAAAGTACTTTATGAGCTGAATGGAAACCAGGATGGGATACAAGAGGAGTGACTGGGCATTTAGCATCTAATTCTTACTTTATATGTGAAGGCTGTCTGGATAAAGAAAAAAGAGAGAAGTGGAAGGAAAACGGATATGCTTCCTTTGAATAGTCAAGTATTGTTCTTCATACTCATCAGCCAGAAATTCCACAGACTGAGAGGTTCAGTATCTATTTTTATAGCTAGTAATTAAGTCCAGCAGTAGATGAAATATCTTTCTTTCATCTATCTTTCTTTCTTCCTTCCTTCCTTTTTTTCTTTTTTTTTGGGGGGGGGAGGAGTTACTTACACATCTCAACAGCAAACCAAGATGCTACAACTGCCCATATCTTATCCAAAGACATTGTGCAGGAAAGAAAATGCCTGCTTTGTGTTGATTCCTAAAATACTGCATAGGTAGGGAGGCGACATATCTCCTCCATTTTTTCTGGCTTTTCGAATACTCAAGATAGGAAGAATATAATCCTTACTCTGCATCTGGCAGCATCTGAAGTGCACCAGGCCCAAGATGTAGCATGTTCCAACAAGATGGGCATTACATTGTGGTGCCATTTTCTGCTATATTGCTGTGCACATGGAGAACAGAACTATGCTAAAGAGATATGCAACTAAGGGTGCTTCCAGACTGTATCAAAATGTGGGTGTTAAAAGTGGTGCAAAAAATCTTGGAACCTGACAGTATGTCTACATACAGACTTATCAGTCTCAAGAAATGATCCCCCACCAGGAGATGGAGGGCGGATGGGGAACATCCAGCGGACCGCATATGCGCACATGCGGAGAGCCCAATGTACACACAAGCAGATTTCTTATCTCTCTCTTCACCCAACTGTTAATTAAAGCTCTGTTTAATATTATAAGAAAGAAAGGGAAGGCTGTAGAGAGTTCTAATTGCTTTCCAATTGTGCTTCCTTTTAGGCACCTGTGCATCTGGATCCATTTTTTTACAGCCCAATCAGCTGTTTTGGGCTTTTAAAATACGTGCATTGGAGCAGTTCACACCAAGGTATGAGAAGGAAGTCATGTGTTTTCCACGACTGCAAGGATATACAGTCATGCGAAGGCGCACATTTTGGGGTTGGAATCGCATTTTAAGTGCACCTTTTAGACACATGCTTTTCAGTTGTTAATTTGATTCTGCCTGCACTTTCCCCAAACATCATTTAGTAATTCCTTCCAGCTTTACTGCATGTGTAGAAGGGCCCAAAGTTAAAGTTGTTTTTGTTGTTGTTGTTATGTTTATTTATATCCCACTTTTTCTCACCATACAAAGACTCAAAGCGGACCACAACTAAAAGCATTGCAATACAACTTAAAATATATCAATATACAAGTATTAAAACAGTATTAAACATCATAAAAATCACAGCAGCCCCTGACAATCTTAAAAACATTCTTCTTTAAAAGCCTGCCTGAATAAAAAGGTTTTAACCTGCCACCTGAAAGACAGCAGGTGTTGTGGTTCAGCCTGTGATTGTTTCATTGCAGATGGCATTAAACAAGGGTCCAGATAGGTTCATACAAGGGGATGCGGTTGGTCAAATAGCCTGGACCTGAACTGTCTAGGACTTTAAAGGAGCTGCTTCAACAGGGGGGTTGTCCGCTCCCTGTAGCCACCCCCAGTGAGCAACCTGGCTGCAGCTATTTGGAACAGCTGAACTTTCTGAGTACTCTTCAGAGGCAGCCCCACGTATAGTGTGTTACAGTAATCCAGATGGGATGTAACTGAAGTCGGGCTATAGGGAGAAATGCCAGATTGTCAAGTTGGGCTCAGGAAAGGAAGAGGCTATAGGAATCATATTGGAAACATGCACCAATTGATGAAGCACACCAAAGAATTTCAAAAGAAGATGAAACTGTGTTCTGTATATTACAGCAAAGTCTTTGATTGTGTACATCAGGGGTCCACAAACTTTTTAAACAGAGGGCCAGGTCACAGTCCCTCAAACTGTTGGAGGGCCGGGTTATAATTTGAAGAAAAAAATGAATGACTTCCTATGCAAGCTGCACATATCTTATTTGTAGTGTAAAGAACACTTAAAAACAATACAAGAATTAAAATGAGGAACAATGTTAACAAACATAAATTTATTAATATTCCAATGGGAAGTGTGGGCCTGCTTTTGGCTGATGAGATAGGATTGTTGTTGTTGTCGTGTGCTTTCAAGTCATTTCAGACTTAGGTTGATCCTGAGTGAGGGCTGAGTAAATGACCTTGGAGGGCCGCATCCAGCCCCCGGGCCTTAGTTTGAGGACCCCTGGTGTACATCATAAAAATGATGAGTCACTCTTAAAGAAATGAATGTGCCCCAACATTTGATGTGCAATCTATACTCAGGACATTAGATTACTATCTGGACAGAAAACAGCGAAACCAAATGGTTTCCTATTGGAAAGTTCAGGAAAGGCTGAATTTTATCACTCTATCTGTTTAACTTGCATGCTGAACATATCATATGTTAAACAGGATTAGCTGCAGTGATAGGAGATGAGAAAATTGGAGAAAGGGACATTAACAAATTAAAATGTGCCATGACACTATACTACTAGCAGAATAAAGCAAAGACTTGGAATGATTACTGAAGGAAGTCAATGAAAAAAATTCACAGGCAGGTTTACAGCTGAACATTAAGAAAACAAAAACAATGAGCACAGATTTAAATAATTTTAAATCAGACAAAGAAGACAGTGAAATAGTTCAAGATTTTTCATACCTTGGTTCAATCATTAAACATGGAGACTGCAGTTAAGAAATCAGAAGATAACTAGTATTGGAATAGCAGATATTAAAAACCTAGGAAAGATCTTGAAGTGTCAAGATATATAATTGAATACAAAAGTTAGGAAGGTCCATGCTATCACATTTCCAATTTCTATGTATACTTGTGAAAGCTGAACAGTGAAAAAAGCTGAAAGGAACCAAATGAACTCTTTTGAAATATGGTGCTGGAGAAGAATTTTACGAACACCAAGGACTGCTAAATAGGGGATAAATAAATGAGTCCTAGAGCAAATGAGGCCTGAACTCGAGAAACCAATATAACTAAACTGAGACCATTGTATTTTGGCCACATCATGATAAAGCATGACTCATTAGAAAATACAATAATGCTTGGTAAAATCATTGAAAAAGAGGAAGACTGCATTTAATACAGATAAACTGAATCAAGGAACCCACAACCCCGACTCTGCAAGTCCTGTGCAGAGATGTTGAAGACCAGATAACCCAATGGTCTCTCATTTATATGGTCACCATAAGTCAAAGTCATATTTGGCAGTTAACAGCAACAAATTAGTAAGGTGAAAAGGCAAGACCACATGATGTCCAGGTACTGGCAATTAGCTTAAACCCATAGTAAGTCACAGTATAACAACCTATAAATCCAAGGGATAGGAAAGCTCACTCACAACATAGGCCCATTTCAATCCACTTTTATATTCCTAAAGTAAACTATATAAGATGCCTCCCATCCAAACCCTGATGCCCACACACTGCTGCCAACAAAAGGGAAACAGATTAGGCCACACAGTCTCAGCATGCACCCATTAGTTAAGACAAAATACATTTTATCAAAGTAAGCTGCTTTATTTACCACCTATTGTACCCCAGCACTTTAGTTCTATGTGTCAGTATGCGCAATATATAAAATCCACACAGTCGTTTTATATCAGCTATAAAAATGGTACGTATGGATGTTGTAATATATAATTTAGCAACCACAAAGGGCCAATTATTGCCATACAAATAAATGAGTATAAGTTCTTGATATATTTAATGTGCTTAGGTAGTAAATACTTATAATATCCAAAGTCCACAAAGCAAAAAGTAGCTGGTATGTAAAACATCACATGTTTTTCAAAATTATAAAATGTTTAAATTAAATTGCCAGTACATATAATCCATGGTAATTATGACTCCACATCTTTTGCATGCTAATAGCTTGGAACTATATCCAAAAGCTACAAAAAAGGCATAGCCTACATTTTAAAAAACGTTTCTTTTTAAAATGACCTATAAGTATGTTATTTTTCATTGAACAAGAAGTGGCACTTGACTCTTACATTCTTGTCAATTGCTTGTATATCAGACCCATTTATTTTGTCTTGATTATACCATTACACCTTGGTCTAAAACCAATAATAGGCATTTACCAGGAAACTTCACTTTTGATACCTGGATCTACAAAAAATGACACACAAAACAAAAGTACTGCTTGAAGTAAAGTGTTCCAATTTCTGGGCTTACCTTTATGTTTAATTTCATTTCATTTTCTTCATCAATGTCACTGCTTTTAACTAAAATGTTTTCCAATTTCAAATCTCTATGAACAATATCTGTCAAGGTGGAGAACAAAAAGTGAAAGTGTTATTTATCAATTGCGTTGAAAATATTCTGACAGAAGTGTTTTAAATCCTTTTGATTGAGTAATTTATGAGCTACATTTTCAGTGCATTTCATCTTACATTAATGCATATACGCAGACACGGTATTCATTCTTTTCCTGAAAATGCATTGTCTATCCATTCCACACCTGGATCAAACTTAGATCCATTCTTCTAATAAAGTGAAAAAGAAAAGTCTTCATAGATTTCATGACATTAAATAATATGGTTTTGTCACATGATTTACTTTAAAAGCACCAATTTGTAAGATTAGGTTATAAAATTTGGGGGGGGGGGGGAACCAACTCATTTCCCGTGCTTGGAAAGAAAAAAATACAAGGATCATCAAAAGGAGAAATGAACAAATCTTTTTTCAATCTTTCTCAGTTTACACTTCTGTTTCCCTTCATAGTACTGTCTGAGACTTCCATTGTGCTGTCTCTCATCCTCAACTCATGACTTCTTTTTCTTTTTCAAAGAACATATTCTCAAAATGTTACCATATTTCATTGATGTGTTTTGATATTTTTGGCCATTCAAGGTGTGGAGGACAAGGTCCCCATTCCCATTATACTTCTCCCTTTGCCTGCCCCAAGGAGAGCCAAGGAAATGTTAGCCCCCTACCTTTGTAGTGTTCAGAAGAAAAGCAAAAATCCATGCATCTATGCCACATCATAGAGTAGAACGAGAAAGCTGAGGTGCACTACTATATAGACCTGCACTATCCTGTTCGCTTATTTTGTGTAAAATTGCTGCACCTACTACCCAGAGGGACTACAGCAGATTTTTCCAAACGGTGTGTCGCAACATATTAGTGTGTCTGCTACAGTGTATAGGTGTGTCATGAGGAATAATAAAAATCTTGGAAACTTCTATTATCCTACAGCTTCTATATTTTAAAAAAATCAATGAAAGGCTTTCGTTAGATATGTTGTATCTCCAAACATTTGTTATTACAATTAATATATATGTCTGTATCTCTGGTAAATATTTGGTATAACTTCCGATTTGCTAGTAAAAATGAATTACTGTGTTGCAAAATTATGCATATCTAAAAAGTGTGTCACCAACATGAAATGTTTGGAAAGCTCTAGACTAGAGGGAGTAAAGGAGGTAGAAAAGCAGAGTCAGTGGTTGCTTGTAAAACTTTCTCTCATTCACTCTCTCACCCTTCCTGGATAGCCAAAATGGGTGAGAAATGGGAGACAAACAACTAGAGTAACAGCAACTGCTTATCAGAATCACCAGTTGTCCATTTATTTGTTTAATTTAGATTCAACCTTTCTTCCAATATAAGATGTAAGATAGGTCACAATCCTGTTTGTCCAGAAACAAAGGGAAAGTGAACCAGAGGAGACAGAAACTGGCCACACACATCCTTATTTATGATATGGTAAATATAAGGTGTACAAAGAATTTAATAGACATCCAATAAGATTTAATCTCCTAAGAATTTGGAAAAGATATAAGGAAGGAATGGAATTAAACACCCCTCTATGGCTACGTCCATTGGAAGCAGTACTTAGGCCAACATCCAGTGAGGAAATAAGAATTTATAGGGAGCAATATTTTTATCTTTAATGTGTTTTAGCAGAATTGTATTTGTAATGTTTTATTTTGTCTATCAAGTTGAATTAGGTTGTGTTATATTGTCAAATGTGTTTATTTTTATGTAATTGACAGTATGGTTTCTTTCTGGCAATTGAATGTTTGCCTTACATGTTGGAAACTGCCCTGATTCACTTTGGGGAAATAGGGTAGTATACAAAGAATTATCATTATTTGATACATAACAAGATTAGTATACAGCAAACAAGATCACCATGCTGGCTTTTGTATTTGATCACATGTCGGACTCTTCCTAAGTGTCTAGGACTGTGTGATGTATCAGCAAATAATGCATGCAGATCCAAGTAGGTAATTTTGTCAGTGCTTATGTTATTATTATTATTATTATTATTATTATTAGAAAACACAGAAAGCGATGCAGAAGAAAATATGTTAATTGTTGAAGAAGTAGTCACCACTACTGAGATGTCCAGAACTTTATACTGTCCACATTTTAATAATAAAGAGCATACCACAGACCAAAAACAAAAAAAAAGTGTTTCACTCACTAAGCCCAAAATTATAATATGAAATAAGCCAAAGCTACTCAAAGTGGTGATCCACGGACCAGTGCTGAATCACAAGCTATTGACTACCAAGCTTCACAAATTTCCAGGAAACTGTTCGAATACACGATTAAAATAGTATAAATCTGACACTTGTCCATTGGACACTAAGTGGAAAATGTCATTCCACCACAACAAACAATTTGAGGAGCACTGAAATAAATACATATGAAATTATAAACATATTACAATACAGAATAAACAATCATACCTTTCTTGTGAAGATATGCTATTGCTGATGCAAGACTTTGAATTATGTGCCGTGTCTCGTTCTCTGAAAACTGACCTTTTCTCTGAAGAATCTCTTTAAGTTCTCCATCCTCACATAACTCCATTACAAGATACACACGCTAGCATTAATAAACAAAATATTACTTTTTATTTGCATTTACAATATGAAAGAATTAATCATTGTTTTTAACTTTAAGCCCAGCAAATCTGAAGTATAAAAAAATCACAAATTGCATTTTACCAAGTCTGGTTAATAAATTAATTAGTTTTTGTACCTTGATTAGTCAACTGTCACTCTAATTAATAAAAGCATTACAGCATTTAGAAGGTAAACTATGAAGAGCAATTTATATTAGTTATACTACACTTGATCTTAACCAAAAGGCCGAGAAGCTTATATTAGTTATAAGTGGTTCCTCAAGAAGAAAAAACTCATTTCAGGTTAGAATTGAGGTGTCATTTAAAAACTCTTATTATATGACCTTCAAAAACTTAACATAGTTACTTCATCAATATTTTTTCCTTAACTATGATCATTCATTAGGGAAAACAAATTAGGTTAGGGATTGACTCTTTTTGTTAAGTCCAGTTTTACTGAGGTTTCCTCTGACAGTGCTATGCTTTTTTTTTTACACTGAATTTTAATTCTTCATCCTGCTCCTTACACCCCACCCCCTGCCACTCTTACTCTTTGCATGCATTTGGAAAATTCATTATTCATTGAATAAAAGCCATTATTCATTAATACAAGATATTGGTGCACTTTTTGATACATATATACATTTTCCATGTGCATTTTTCAAATGTGCAAGCATTTGAAAAGGTTCTTCCTGCCCTGATCCTTGCAAAATGGCAATACCATCCCAGAATGTAGCTTTTATCTGAAAATTGTTCTGAAAAGTATTAATTTAGTTGTTTTACATCACAATGCAAATCCCAAATGCCTCTCACCAATCCCCAGACTGAATCCTTCCATTAAACTAAATGAGGATTCCTTTACAGGCCCAATTTCCATGAGGACAACAAAACATATAAAGAATTCTGAGTTGTGAAGCAAGTGTGGGAATTCTACGGGCAATATTTAGTATTTCTTCCATGTCTTTGATTAGCATATTCAAAAGCTACAAATTGTACATGTCACTTTCATATAAGTGGGTACCTCACATGCACTCTAGTACTGCGAATCACAAAAAGCAAGTCCTCAGGACACAACGCTACCACACAAGAAAGCAAATGGCACAATGTGGCCAACAAGTTTCAAGAGTAGTTTGCCACTCATTAAAGCAGTATTTCCAAGACAGCTTACAAGGTATCTCTACATTATTTCCAGTATATACATATTAAGCTCCTACTTTCAGGAAACAAAGAACACATGCTGCAACCAAAATAATGATTCCCAAACAAGAGATATAGTGACTGGTTAAAACGATACAGAGGGTACAATAGAGTTCAAGGTATTTGTCCCCCAAAATAGATACATCCACCTCAGAATGCTACTGAATGGTGGAGGGAAAGTGGGATATGTGTGTAGAGATTTCAACATCCCTATAAACCATGATATCTATTTTATTCAGCAGAAACTATTATTGTTTTTTGCTTATAACCATTGTTTGGACTTGGCAATGAATTTTATTATCAATTTGTATTGAAGAATATCAATAAGAGTTGGGGAAAATATTTAAAGCAGGGAGGGAAGAAAATAAATGCTTGATGCAAGTTTAGGAATAGAAGAGATCAATATGCAGTTCAACAAACTGAACCAAGGGTTTTGCTCAGGTATCTGAATAAAACAGGGACAGTCTAGTTAACTTAGCTGGATGTATTCATCCCTTGTTGTTTGTGTTGTCCTGTTGCTTATGTGCTGTTTTGTGGATTCTTCCACATTTTAAAACTTGTTCCTATTTACAATGTAGTTCAGTAAACCGAAAAAATTTGTATTTGGAAGGAAAAATAATTCATCAGCAACTAAGTTCTAACACTGCTAGCTTCCAGTATTACATCTTATTTGTCATTTAGTGAATTCTATTGTAAGAGTTATATTCATAGCACTTACTTTTGGTGTCTCAAACACTTCTTCAAGATGTATTATATGGTCATGGTTGACTGTTTTCAAAATGCTTACTTCCCGTTCAAGTAGTTTTACAGCAGAACTCCCAGCCTTAATTAATGAGAAAAATAAATTTCTTATACATTAGAAGATTAACACAGCAGCATATTAATTACATAGTTACAGATGTTTTTCAAAACACATCCTTGAAAGTCTGGTTTGAAAGCTTCAGCCTTATCAGACTCCACAAGGGCTCAAATCAGGAGCAGTGGGATTAGAGAAATGTTCTCTGCAGCCTGTGCCATATAAGCAGTAAAATATGGAATGTCAGCACCACAGCACAGAACCAGCCTGGTCTTGGGAAGGAATTATCTCAGAAAGCATTTCATTGCATTACACAATTTTACTCCATTCGGTAAAGCTTGCCGACTTGCTACACTCTCTCCAACCTGTTCAGGAAAGCCAACAGGTCACTATCCTATATTTCTATATTCAGTGACCACATACTCAGCATATAATTTCTTCTGGTGTATCTTAAAAGTGATTTCCAACCTATGGGAACCCTAAGACAAATCTATTATGGTTGTTTCTTGGAATTATTTGTTCAGATTATGTTTGCCATTGCTTTTCTCTGAGACATGGGGGCCAGAAATGACGGGGCTCATCCAGAGTGGGGTACTTCAGATCAGTGCCACCGAAGTCCACATGGCTAGCTGCCGAGCTAGCTCTTGGGTTGCATTGCGCTGCACCAAGTTGGCCCAGTGGCTAGATAGCATTCACCACTGGGCCAACCACCCTCACTTTCCCTTTGTCAATATAGCTGTGACCACCAGGGACAAAACTGGAAGAGGTGGTCACTTGATGCTTGTAATGACTATAGTCAGAGTAATGAAGTGCTGTGTGAGAGAAGACGAGGAAAGGAGAGATTGCTAGAAGTCCTGGGGTTTGGGAATCTATCCTCTCCCTGATATTTGAAAGATTGTATTCCATTTTTTATCCAAGCAGCACTAAATCCTGAGTGCCAGTGGAAAGCACTCTTAAATTCTGAACTCCTTACCAAACTGCTAGTGAAGCTTTCATTCCACACAATCCATTTCTCATTGCAACCTCATCTTTGCAGTGCTTTTTAACTTATTTTTAACCTTGTCTACTGTAAAATGTCCTCACTATACTGTATCAAAAGCTCCCTTCCAAAAGATTCACCTCAAATGCTCTAATTGAATTTCTCCAATGTGCACTTGTTTATTTTTTTCCCCATATTAAGTTTTACACACAATTATCAACAAATCGACATGGATTTCTCAAAAACAAGTCATGCCAGACTAATCTTATCTCTTTTTTCAATAGAGTTACAAGCTTGGTAGATGCAGGGAATGCTGTGGATGTAGCTTATCTGGATTTCAGTAAGGCCTTTGACAAGGTCCCCCATGACCTTCTTGAAAACAAACCAGTCAAATGTGGGCTAGGCAATGTTACTGTTAGGTGAATCTGTAATTGGTTAACTGACCGAACCCAAAGGATGCTCACCAATGGTTCCTCTTCATCCTGGAAAGAAGTGACAAGTGGAGTGCCACAGGGTTCAGTCCTGGGCCTAGTACTGTTCAATATCTTTATTAATAACTTGGATGAAGGTTTAGAGGGCATGCTTATCAAGTTTGCAGATGACACCAAATCAGGAGGGATAGCTAATACTCCAGACGACAGCATAAGAATTCAAAATGACTTTAACAGAAAAGAGAGCTGGGCCAAAACTAACAAAATGAATTTCAACAGGGACAAATGTAAGATACTTCACTTAGGCAGGAAAAATGAAATGCAAAGATACAAGATGGGCGATGCCTGGCTCAACAACAGTTCATGTGGTAAAGGTCTTGGAGTCTTCGTGGACAACAAGTTGAACATGAGCCAACAGTGTGATGCAGAAGCTTAAAAGGCCAATGGGATTTTGGGCTGCATCAAAAGGAGAACAGTGTCTAGATCAAGTGAAGTAATGTGCTTTGGTTAGACCTCATCTGGAATACTATGTCCAATTATGGGTACCACAGTTCAAGAGATATATTGACAAATTGGAAGGTGTCCAGAGGAGGGCAACTAAAATGATCAAAGGTCTGGAGACCGTGCCCTATGGGGAGCAGCTTAAAGAACTGGGTATGTTTAACTGCTGAAGAGAAGGTTGAGAGGAGACATGATAGTCATGTATAAATATGTGAAAGGGTGTCATAAGGAAGTGGGAGCAGCCTTGTTTTCTTCTGGCCTTGAAACTAGTACTCAGAGCAATGGGTTCAAATTACAGGAAAGGAGATTCCTTCTGAACATTCGGAAGAACTTTCTGACCATACAACTGTACAACAGTGGAACTCTCTGCCTCAGAGTGTGGTAGAAGCTCCTTCCTTAGAAACTTTTCAACAGAGTCTGGATGGCCATCTGTCTAGGATACTTTGATTGTGCTTTTCCTGCATTGCAGAGAGTTGGACTAGATGTCCCATGTGGTCTCTTCCAACTTTATTATTCTATGATTCTATGAAAAATATCAGCTATATACTGAAAACAGCCAATTTCATCTGAAGAATCTGTTGTTTTAAAATGGTAGTCAATATATGCTAAGATCAGCATATTTCCAGTTTTGAAGGAAATAACAGTGTAAGGAAATACAACCATACATTATCAAATTACATCTGGGGGGAGGGGGCTGCATATGAATAAACCATGATAATTTAGATGCCAAGTTAATGTAAGATTGTCATAGCTTGTGAAAGAACTCTTCTTTATTATTTATTTATTTGCGGTATTTGTATACCAGCCTACTCAACCCCAAAGGGGACTCAGGGCGGTTCACAATGTTGGTAACAACTCAATGCCATTCATAAAAACAGTATAAAACATCAAAATTGACCCACCCCCGATAAAACATTAAACATTATTGAGCATATCACATAAAACAACATCACATACCTCACAAAGACATAGCCGTATTAATCCATGATAAATAATTCCTACCTTTTCCCGGTTAACTTTCTTGATCGCCCACTTTATGCCTGTTTCTCTGTGTGTTGCCTCAATCACCACACCAAAGCTACCTTGTCCCAATTTCCTTCCAAAAGTATAAATTAGCTGCAGAAATAGATGGCAATAATGATAAAAGATTAAAAGAAGCAGGGACTAAAAAGTATGCTGTTACAGAGAGGATTTGTTAGTAGTCATATATATATATGTATCAATGGGTTGTTGTAGGTTTTTTCGGGCTATATGGCCATGTTCTAGAGGCATTTCTCCTGACGTTTCGCCTGCATCTATGGCAAGCATCCTCAGAGGTAGTGAGGTCTCAAGGTAATTTAATTTCAGTATTGTATGAAATTTCAGAACAAATTAAATTCTGAGGAAATAAACACTGACTTTTGTATCATATTTACAATATCAAGTAAGAATATGTACCAATAAATGATGCTTTAAGAAACCCAGAGTACAAAACCAAAAATTGGCCAATAAGAGTGAATAAATGAAAAAGAAAATACCCCAATGTCAAAGATAAAAAAGAGTTCACCTGCTGTCAGCTAGTCTCACATTCATACAAAGGTTACAAGCTGCCTCTTCCTCCATTTTTACTCTAATCAAACACTTGGCTGCAGTTATCCCGTTTCTGAGTTTTGTAAATATATCATACTCCCCCTGAAATCACATGTTTGCAATTTGTGGAGGCGCACCTGAGTCTAGGTGCCCAGGTTTTGGCAGTGGCTAGGAGTGCATTTGCACAGTTAAAACTGGTGCACCAATTGCATTTGTTCCTTGAGATCTACAGCCAAGGCATCCTGCATACATGCCATTATTATTTCTGTGATGCTATGTCGGGCTGTCTTGGCAAACTTTGTCAATTTCAGCTATTGCCAGGACTGATTACAGTGATTATGTGACATCCCCTGTTGAAAAACATCAGTGGCTGGCTACCAGTCAATTTCCCAGCATAATCCAAAATTCTGCTTTTTGCCTGTAAGTACCTACACATCTTAGGTCCAGACTATTTGAAAGATCTTATCACCCCATATAAGCCAATGCAAGCCTTACGGTCTTCAGGAGAGGCCTTTTTCTTGATTTCACCACAGTGCAGACTGGTTTGGTTAAAGACATGAGAAAGAGCTTCCTTGATGACTGCTCCCTTCTATGGGAAGTCCAGTTGACATGCCACTACTCTCTTTCCACAGGTGAGAACCTTTTTATTAAGGTAAGCTTTGAGTTTTAAATTATGTGGCACTAGTGTGTGTGACATGGTATACTGAATTTAATGTTTAAATCTTTTATAAGTAATTATTTTTAAATGTGTTTTATTGTTTTAGCAATGGTTTTAATAATACAGTTGTTTAACTATTTCTAACTTTTGTTGAATAAAATTGTAATTTAGCCTTTAGTTTCACAAATGTGTGAGCAACATATCTGAGATGCATATCTGTAGCAAATGTAGTAAATGCAGCATGCTCATCTTCCTTCCACCTGTAGCTTGTTTTGTTTAAGATTGCAGTTTGTGAGAATGTGGTTGGTCCGAATAAAAATATTTCCATAAAACAGTCAGCCTCCCCCACACCTCAATGGAAGGGTAATATGGTTAAATGTTACAATAAAAGTTCAGAAGGAAGTACAGTTACCAACCTGAATTGCTCCTCCATCATCTATTCGCGTGTGAGGGATTTTGCTTTCCGTATTATTGCCACGAATGCCTGAGGTAATGAGCATTTTTCTGTAAGAGTCTATTAAGTCTGACTTTGACATCTTTAAGGAACATAAAAAGACGAGCATGAAATTAAAATAGTAGACATTGTTTTAAAAGAATATGTTTTTTTACATACCTTCCAGCACATGTAGTAAGTTACACATAAGATATTACAAAACTCCAACAGAATATATGAAGTGGGAAAGCACTAGAGAAAGTGACCTTAATAGACAGAAATAAGAGTATAGATATATCTCAGAGGGTGAATAAGGCAAAAAGAAAGGGGTATAGAAATACCAAAACACAAAAAAGGAATTTGGACTTCTCATCCCTCAAAAAATTAACAATGTTAGCATGGAAGTCCAAATTCATTAATATCTAATTGTTTTATATTCTACTTTAGTGAAAACATCATCTAAAAATTCAATCATCAATAGAATCTGGGCCCTGGAGAATTTAACCTTTGTTAAAAGTCCCTCTTTTCTCCATGTTCTAGAGGAAAAATGGTACATCATATGAAAGACAATCACCAAAAGGCGAAAGTAGAGAACTACCAAAGATAACCCTTCAAATAGCACTACTGTGGTTCACAAAACCATCAGAACTTGGTTGCAGAACCTATGCATAGCATGTTGAAGAGCCCACATCCAAAGCAGGTGGACAGGTATGTGCAATCTTCTCAATCTGAGCAATGAAAACTATTTTAATGACAGTTTTGGATAGGAGTAATAAAAAGAAAAGTCTTCCAGGCTTATTATGTGCATAACAAAGCATTCACCATGTCCCTCCCTATTTCTGTAGTAAAAGAGAAGTTGCAGCAGTAGCCCGGTTAGTATCTAAGCCCATAGGTAATGAAAGAAGATGACAATGTATAAAATAAAAAATTGCATGTAAATTACTCAAGTAAAAAATTAAAATTGTAGTCATGCTTGAAAAAGAAATCAATATGTCCTGAGGTCTCGTGGGGATCTTCCTGTCCTGGAGACTGACGATCCTGTTGACGCTGTGGTTGATTACAACAGCGAGATGTCCAGGGCGATTGACATGATCGCTCCCGAACATCCCCTCTCGCTATGTAGAGTTGCACCAACTCCTTGGTTTACTGAGGAGCTGGAAGTGATGAAACGTACAAAAAGGGGTCTGGAGTACCTCTGGAGGAAATCTCGTGACATCTCTGACCGAGCACGGGCTAAAGCCACTATTAAGGCTTACTCCGCGGCTCTGCGGGCAGCCAAGAAAGCTTTCTCGACTGCCTGCATAGCGTCTGCAGCCAACAGGCCATCAGAGTGGTGGGGGAGCTCCTCCACACACCTGTGGTGGACGGAGTCCCTGAGGACGCGGCAACTTGGTGCAGCGATTTCGCGCACCATTTTGCAGGCAAAGTCGTTCAGATACATCTAGAGCAGGACACCAGTTTAAGCGCAATGCCAAATGAGGTAACCGAGGTGCACGTCTGTCCGATTTTATGGGATTCTTTTTGTCTTGTTCTGCCTGATGATGTGGACGGGATCCTTGGGGCTGTGAGGGTGACCGCTTGTGCTCTGGACCCTTGCCCTTCCTGGCTAGTTAAACTGGCTAGGGATGGGTTGTTGGATTGGTTTCTCTCCATCTTAAATGCATCATTGGGCCAAGGGAAATTCCCATCCTACCTTAAGCAGGCGGTGGCAAAACCATTACTGAAAAAGACCTCTCTTGACCCCTCAGTGCTTACTAATTACAGACCAATCTCCAACCTCCCTTTTTTGGGCAAGGTGCTAGAGCGGGTGGTTGCCTCGCAGCTTCAGGAGTTCCTAGATGACACCGATTTTCTAGAGCGATCGCAGTCTGGTTTCAGGCCTGGGCACAGTACCGAGATGGCTTGGTCACCTTGGTGGATGACCTCCACAGGGAACCTCCCTAAACTGTTCTGGCCCAACTTACCTGTCTGAACCTATCTCCCCTTACGAATCACTGAGGACTTTAAGATCATCTGGGGAGGCCCTGCTCTCGGTCCCACCTTCATCACAAGCACGTTTGGCGGGGACGAGAGACAGGGCCTTCTCAGTGGTGGCCCCTCGGCTATGGAACGCCCTCCCTAGGGAGATCAGGTCTGCTCCCTCCCTCTTGATGTTTCGGGGGCAAGTTAAAACATGGCTATTCGAGCAAGCGTTTACAAATACAGAGTAGCTAATATAGGAAATCGAATGACCTGACAACGGAATTGGACAATACTTGAGAATAATGAGACGCGGATGATGTTGTTTTTATTGCTTTTGTGATTTCTTATACTATTTAATGTTTTTTATCTATATTATGTTTTATGTATACTGACTTGTTGGAAACCGCCCTGAGTCACCAATTGGCTGAGAAAGGCGGTATACAAATACAGTAAATAATAAATAATAAATAAATAAACTGGACAGGGGGAGTGTGATCCTGCTGGTTCTCTTGGACATCTCAGCAGCTTTTGATATCATCGACCATGGTATCCTTCTGGGTCGACTCTCCGGAATGGGACTTGGGGGGCATGGTTTTACTGTGGCTTCGGTCCTTTCTGGAGGGTCATTCTCAGATGGTAAAGTTGGGCGACACCTGTTCGGACCCCTGGCCATTGACCTGTGGGGTCCCGCAAGGTTCCATTCTATCCCCCATTCTTTTTAACATCTATATGAAACTGCTGGGAGAGGTCATCTGGAGTTTTGGAGTTGGGTGCCATCTCTACGTGGATAACGCCCAACTCCACTACTCTTTTCCACCAGAATCCAAGGAAGCCCCTTGGATGCTGGACCAGTGCCTGGCTGTTGTGTCAATCTGGATGAGGACGAACAAGCTGAAGATCAATCCCGACGAGACAGAAGTCCTCCAGGTCAGTCATACGCCTGACCGGGGTATTGGATGGCAACCTGTGCTTGACAGGGTTGCACTCCCCCTGAAGGCACAGGTCGACAGCTTGGGGATCCTCCTGGACTCAGCGCTGAAGCTGAGTGCAGGTGTTGGCGGTAGCTGGGAGGGCCTTTGCACAATTAAAGCTTGTGCACTAGCTGAGACCATACCTCGCGAAGTCTGACTTGACCATGGTGGTCCACACCTTTGTTACCTCTAGATTGGACTATTGCAATGCACTCTACACGGGGCTTCCCTTGAAGACGGCCCGGAAACTTCAACTGGTCCAACGCTCGGCAGCCAGACTTTTAACTGGGGTGAATTACAGGGAGCGATCAACCCCCCTGTTTAAGGAGCTCCACTGGTTGCCGTTCATCTTCTGATCCCAATTCAAGGTGCAGGTCATCACCTATAAAGCCCGGAATGGTTTGGGACCCACCTAACTTTGTGGGCCACATCTCCTACCACAAACCTGCACGATCTCTTCGATCCTCTGGAGAGGCCCTTCTTTCACCCCTTCCTCTATCACAGGCTCAACTTGTGGGAATGAGGGAGAGGGCCTTCTCCGCTGTGGCCCCCTGCTTTTGGAACTCGCTACCTGGGGAGATCAGGCAAGCCCCTATTCTAGCTGCCTTCAAGAAAGATCTAAAAACTTGGCTCTTCCGATGTGCCTTCGGAAAGTGACCACACAACCCATTTGTTTGTTTCCACCTACAGTTGTCCTCATGATAAAGCACCTTTCCCTGTCCCCTATAAAGGCCAAACCCCACTGCTCCTCCTTCTCAGGTTCCTCTCTCATAAATACACTTTTTATTCCTATCTCACCCAGAGTTTTAACCTTTTAACATTTTATCTCAGACATCTGGCCCGCCCCTTGTGTTTGATTTTACTATACCATTTTATATTGTTTATTTTATTTGTTATTTTATATATTTGTTATGATGTATTTCCCTGTTATTTTGTGTCTAATTATGGTGTATTATTTTGGGACTTGGCCTCATGTTAGCCGCCCCAAGTCCCCCTTTGGGGAGATGGTGGCGGGTTATAAATAAAGATTATTATTATTATTACTCTATTAATATAACAAGAGAGTGCTAAAATTGTTTGTGCTGACATGATGACCTTCTTAGTCTGAAGCTGTAGCCTTATGGGCCTAGCAGATAGCATTTCAGGAGCCACAGAACATTTCAAATCTCCTCTGAGAAATGAGAGGGAGGGCCAGTCTCAAAGTCAGAAGAGCTAAACAAAAACATCCATGGACTTTGCTGGGAGTGGGAAGAGATTATGAGAAGCCAGGAAGTTACACAAGTTTACACCCCTCCACTATTCCCTCTGCCAAATAAAAATCAATATTTAATTCCAAATGCTCTTTAGGGTACATGGGTGCATTTACCCCATGGCTTGGGGTCCATGATCCTTGAGGGGAATCCATTTTTTTTACCCCAGGGACCACAGAAGGGGCCATATAGGACAATAGCAACCCAAGAGCCATACTTTGCCCACCTCGCATTTTCCTTTATGACATAGCTCCAATGTTCACTATGGTTGCATCTACCTGAAGAATTAATTCAATTTGATACCACTGTGACTGCAATGGCTTAGTACTATGGAATCAGGAAGTTATAATTGTCCAATGGTCAGGAATTCTGGGAGTTGGAGGCCCAAATACCTGGAAGGCCATAGTTTGAGAATGCCTGCTATAAGGTCTTTAGTCTTCACTGCCTAATAGTGCATCGCAGTGCTCTCTGGACCATCCTCCAAAAAATCGGGTGCCCTAACAAATTTGTGAACATCCTGCAGCTCCTCCATGATGACATGATGGCAACAGTCTTGGACAGCAATGGCTCCCAAAGTGACCCATTTAAGGTGGAATCAGGTGTCAAACAGGGATGTATTATTGCCTCAACCTTATTTTCCATCTTCATCACTATGATACTTCATCTTGTTCATGGGAAGCTTCCCACTGGAGTGGAAATCATCTATCGGACAGATGGCAAGCTTTAACCTCAGCAGACTGAAAGCCAAAACCAAGGTTACAACAACATCTGTTATAGAACTCCAATATGCTGATGACAACGTCATCTGTGCACATTCAGCAGAAGAACTACAAGCCTCTCTAAACACCTTCGCAGAAGCATACGAGAAGCTCGGCCTGTCATTGAACATCGAGAAAACCAAAGTGCTCTTCCAGCAGTCA